CGGTAAGATGGCAACTCACACTTAACCACAAAATGTGCCTTACAATCTACAGGATACATGTACGGATCCATTTACCCTGGATCCACATGTAGATCAGTCTTCTATTTACATGAAAGGTCCCGCTTCTCCGAGATCTAGGCCACCCCATTAAGTGAGGTTCGGATCTCTATAACAATACCCCTCTTTTAGGTTTCAGAATAACCTAGGCAGTGAGTAGGGCCTAGGATTTTACTTGGGATCATTGGAAGGCACTCATGGCTTGTAGGCTAGAGTGTAAGGGATTGTGAAAGGTCCTGATCAGGGACTTGCACCAATCTTAGATGCAGAAAGGTTTTGCATGACACATGATGTACTTGGCACTGCCCTTCAAGATGCAACGCATCGACGATATAGTTTGCATGCCAACGTTCAATCAGATGGACGTCGTGATCATGGATGCAAGAAATTCTTGAACCTTGATACTTTTCAGAACCATTGATAATTTGAATTGGTCGGAATAGAAGATATTGACGAATAAGAACTTGGATTGTTCGGGAGATTCCTTCAGGATATCATCCAAGCCAGACGTGCTTAGCTTCCTCTTTATAAGTGAGGTCACCCTAAGCATTGAATCAAGCACAATACACTTCATACAACTCTCCTCTCTGGTCTAGAAGACTCCAATTGCGCCTCTCTCTTCTAAGGTTGCCTTAGCTTCTCCTTCTCCACTTCAATGGTGACCCTAAGCCTCTAAGTGTCATACATCTTCCCAAATTAGATTTGTTCGCCACACGGCTGCACTAACATTATATTTTTTTGTAACTGGTTAAAAACTTAAATATGTACAAAAGTCTCCCTTGGAGTTATTGGCGAAGAATCATGGACACTCTAACGAAGCGTGTTTGTGCTTGCTTGCAAACTTGTCGCTATTATTCATTATTTGATATTTTAAAACCAAGAAACTGCTTTGGACACGTCTGGGGAACTTATATAATTACCATGGTCCATCTATGAACCTACATTAGTCTACAAACTGCCTTCTATATCTTTGAACTCACATAATTGCCAAAGACAAATTGCACCTCAAAGAGATACCATCATACCACTAACAAATTGAGAAGAACATTCTTGGATTGGAACAGCTAAGTCGGAGAGGGCATGGAAAAAATAAAATGGGTTACCTGACCGTTAAGGAGTACAAGAGGAATTTCAACAGAATTCCCAGCAATTACTACTTGAACTATCTGAGCTGCAATATTTTGTTCCTGCTCAGTTGAAAATTTTGTAAAGTAAGGAAGATAATATGGAAAATCCCATATCAAGTAACCCAACTGTTTGAAAATAAAAGCATCAAAGAAACAGCATGAACCTTTTCGTCTCCTAGATGCCCTGTTATGTGATCAACAAGAAGCTGGAACTGGAGAGGGTTAGAACAGCTGTTCCCAACACTCAACCCCGATACAAAAACAACATATTTGTCTTCTCCTGTTTGCAGTCTAACACTAAAAGATTTCAGACAAAGCTTAAGGAACAGTCAGCAAAATGATCAAAATAACTTACGGGAAGACAATCAAAATGGTTGCTCCACAAACACATTACCCAAACTTGGTTTAAATATTTGAGGAAAGATAAAACTACTTAAATTTTAGTGCACATTTCCTTGTCTATATCCTTTTGAGAAAAGTATACATGTTGGATCTTTAGACCAAACTTTCAAAACTATGACACATTTAAACATAGGATAAAAGCATAGTTTGATCTATGAACACAGGAAACAAGTCTCACAAATACAACCTACAGAGCATAATACAAAGGACAAAAAATCATTTTAAACTTGAAGAAAATAAGACAGACCAAATAGAATAGGAAATGGCACAAAAATTTATGCAGACATAGCACCTCTTCATTTATCAAGGGTTCCTACAAGTCAACTGAAAATTATTTTATAGATCTGTATCTTCAATTTTTAGACTTCAATTCCGAGAAAAAAAAATTATATGTCGTTGTGCCTACTGCCTAGGTGCAAGATGGCTTGTGGTTACATTATGTATGTGTTGATTTGGATTTGAAGTTTAAGATGCATCCCCTTACAGCCAATGGTTATACATCAATGTTAATTATAAATTTAATTTTAAAGTTCAATCTTCAAGTTTTTCTTTGATCACATTTTGATATTCTAAAGCAACAAAACATTTTATTGAATAAAGGTTAGGAGGTACATAAGGATTAAGGAGGGTAAAAAGTCCTCCAAAAAAGAAAGAATCTAAGAAAAAATACAAATCACACAGCACACCAAAATCAAAATCTACATGACTTTTTGTTCTATGCAAATGATTGTCCCATGGATCATTTTTAATTTACGACTTCCTGAAAATTCTCACTCATATTTCCACTAAGTCCATGACATCTGCTTCTGTAATAATCAATAATCCTATAAATCCTTCTCAGCAACTAAAAGTAGAAAGCAAATACAGCCATCTCCAGGACATGTCCATGTACCAACAAATATTCAACTCCTGGCACATGGGCAACAGCAAATACCTGATTTAAGTGGCAGCGCAATTTGGTCTGGTAAGCCAGCTTCTAGGATATCTTCAACCCAAAAATCACCAGCACCAGTTTCTTTCCCATGCAACGCAACCACCAGCCCTATCAAATGCATCATGTCAGTAAAAGAACATACATACTTGAAGTAGATGGTGTTTTACAAGTTTTGAATAAATCAGCTAGAAGATTTCTTACTACAACCAGGATATTGCCACTGGTAGTATAGCTTACTTGCCCATTAAAAAGAAACATAAAATATGTTATGTTTGTTAAATTATGTCCACCTAATCTATTTTGAAAACTCAATTCATACATAAAATTCATACAAAAAACTCTACAAGAATAATGTGCCAATGCCATTCTTGTAAATAAATTCATCTCCATGGGTGTTTTGTTTTAAAAAGAAAGGTCCACAATGAGTCGCATCATTCTGTATAAATTTTATGTTTGTATATCATTATGTATTTTTAAAACAATTATACATCATTTTTATTTCAACAGTTGAGAAGCTTTCAAGGGGAAAGCAGAGTGAGGAAGTCCGCACAAGGTCAACCTTAACATGACTAAGACACAACAGGAACCTCAAACTCAAGGACTTGATTGCTACACCAAGTAAAATGCCTATTTCAGAAGCTTAAGAAAATTACCATTCCATCCCAGGAGATTTTTCCAATTTTATTATGATAAGCAGTTCTTTATACAGACCTGTTACATACACAGAAGGTAATAGCACATTCCCACGAAGTTTAACTCTTCCACTTTCATCTTCCAAGACCAAATAATCATCTGGGTGTATAAAATTATGAGGTTTTACAAGTGGGCCAGCAGATCTCTGCATATTACCGATAAATTATATAAACTTTATTGTCTGTACCACAATCTCAATCTCAATCTCAATCTCAATCTCTGAAAAGCAAAGGGGGAAAATGGAGGGGGGAAATCAAACAAAGGGAAAAAGGACCTATATTGACAACAAATACCTCCTTAGAGTACTCATCAAGAATAGAAGGTTTGAGCTTCATGTGCTTGTAGAGGGTTCCAACAATTACGCATTCCTTACCTTCTTCCAGTCCCAAAACTGTACAGACTGTAAGAAAACAATACTCACTTTATCAGTTAACACCAAACCATGGAACTCAAAACTTTATCAACTTAAACATCTAATACTAGTGTAATAGTGAATGCATATTTTGTGATACATGTCATTCAAAAGCATAACAAATTATTCATCAAAGTGACAGTCAGAACAACCAACAAAAAGGAACCAAACAAAAAGTTTTAATTCATACATAAAAAGTATGGACACGTCTGTGTTGAGTCAAACACGTACACTACACTGGTTGGACAGTTGTCAACATGAGTCAAGCACGTGTCCAAACATGTTCTTTTTTGCAACCTAGAAACATAGACACTTCCAAAAAGATGGTTTGTCCATGTTGAACAAGGTGTTGGACCCTGACGCATCTCGAACACTTCCAAACACGAGTTAGACACATGTCCATACGTGTCCTGCCATTATTATTATAGACTCAAACATGCTTCAAAAACTTAGGGAACACGTGTACCTATCGCTTAGACATGCATGCAATATATTCTAGATACGAAGAAAATAAATTGGGATCCAATTATTTATTAAAATTACAACAACAAAAAAATGTAGAGCTATTATTTTAGGAATTATTCTTATGTTGCATATTTTTTATTAGGCCTTATGGCTGTGAACCAAAGGTATTCATTGCCGAAGGTTCTCAACATTGTCCTGTTGGAGGTGTAAGAAATTGAGTCCTAGAGCACTTAGACCATTACCGGAATAGGAAGTCGGGTGTACGCCATGTACATGAAGCTTTGGCCGGCCCCACCTTAGAGTAGTGGTTGGGTCAAGGTGCTCCATTTAACTCTTGTCTTTGGGCTTCTACTATTCACTTCGTACATGAAGAAATACATCCAAAGGAGCTCAAGTTGATACAAGATGAACTCTTTGCCACCGAGAAGGTCAAGGACTTTCTCGAATGGTCAATCTTACAGTTGTGTGACTTGTTGCCGTATGAGTATCATGTTGCATGTCTGTTGTTTGCACCGCATCAAAATCCTATTCTTATGAAAACCCAACCACCCAAATACTTCCAAAAAGAATGTCAATTGCGTAGCCAGCAAAATTATATAACTAACCCACAAAAAACTATTGTCTCATATCTCTAAATTATCAGCTAAAATATAGGCAATGCAACCTTAATGCTTAAACTTCTAAAACATTGTAGAGTTAGAAAACTAATGATAAGCCAAAACTAAAAAAATAAAGCTAAATGAACAGAAACTTTAAGACAACACAAAGTCCCAAACCCTTATTAGTCAAATACACAGTAAAATTCCAAGTTCAATTCCTTATCAACTCCAAAAAAAACAACGGCACCAAAAAAAAAAATGAACTCCAATATCCGGACAAATTCCCCATAAATCCAAACCACACCTAAACCTCAAAATTAAGGTATCTACCAGAAATTTATGTTAGAAATCACAACCCAACATACAAATTGAACTGCAATATCACAAATAGTTTCTAATGCATTAAAAAAATATATATACAAACTTGGGGGAGATGGCAAACAATACAAAAATGGCAGTTACCAGGCAAGTGGGGCTTCCAATTGGGAAGGAGAGAGTAAAGGAGAGTTCTCATCAAGTGAAGCCGAGCAAAGTATATCTGGCTGTACTGCTGGCCCCTGTACATTTCTTTTTGTATCTCAAACCTCTCATCCTGCAATGAATACAGAGGAAAATAAAATAAAATTTGTCAAAAAAATCTTGAATATCTATAAAACAAAACAAATGAAAAGAGAAGATTGAACGAAGTTGTAAAAGATAATTTGAAAATATTTCTTTTTTGTTTGTACCATGGATTGATAGATGGATTGTTTTCTTTGGATGTTGCTCTCTGTGTCAACTTCCATGGCAGGAAACCCTGAAACTGCAACTGCTGACTATTATAATCTGGGTTTTATAGGGCTTGTTTTTTTGGTAGTACTAGTGAAGGAACAACGTGCATTGCATGATAACGCGTGCCTGTAGTTTAAGGTGAATGCATAGTTGTCATTAGGTGCTGGAAATTTGTGTTAATACATATAATAAGATAGTGGCATATGA